GAAAAAAGTCTGACGTCCTAGGGCCTATTGTGGAGGTGTTGTACGTTTGTCACCACGCGGACTATGGTGTGATTCGCGTTAGAAAAGATTCGCTACCGTATTGTGAAAGTTAGAAGAAAGAAGAGGGTTGCACTAGCAAGAATGGAGATACAAATAGCAAACCTTAGAAGGGTTTGTACTTGTTGAACAAGGAATGAAATGACTAAGAATGAAATGAGTACAAATATGGAAACCTAGAAATGTGTACCCCCTATGGGTTAACCCACAGTAGCCTAAACAACTATAACAATATATATAGTGTTGACACACCCCCATAGGCGAAGTGGGGGAGAACTAGGGGTCACAAGACCAGTCAAGTAAAGCAAAGCAAAGCAAGCTCAGGTGGATCACCAATGTCACCACACAATCCGAGCACGAGTTCAAGGCCACAAGGCCAGTTCACAGCAGGGTTACATATATATATATAAGACTAAACAAGCAAAAAGCAGTGATATATATATGTAACAGTTACAAAGAGGGTCAAGAGGAGAGCAAGTGAGGAAGACAGACATAAGACCCAGCTGGGTACAGCAGCGCTGATGATCACAAGGCGGAAGTGCCTTGGTGAAAACATCAGCAGTGTTGGCCTCAGAGGCCACGTACGCAAGTCGCAACTGACCACGCTGCTGTAGCTCACGAGCAAGGAAGTAGCGGAGAGCAATGTGCTTTGTTCTGTGCTGCAGTCTCTGCTCTCGACACAAGGCCAGCATGGCTTGTTGTCGACGTACAGGACTGGAGGAGAACGAGGCGGCTCTCAAAGTCGGTCAGCAGGTAGGTGAGCCAGCGAAGCTCCTGAGCAGCCATGGCCCCTGCGTAGATCTCAGCCTCACAACTGGAGCCGAGAACAGAAGACGAGCGAGTAGCCCGCCACGAAACAGAGCCGGAACCAAGGCTGAAGGTGTAACCCTGTGACGATCGCTGCGTAGCCTGGTCCTCAGCCCAAGAAGCGTCAACGTGTCCAGTGAGGGACCACTGGACTCCGCCCTCCCAGCACTAGTCCCATGCCCGACGTACTGCACAAGTAGCGCAACACCCTCTTCGCTGCAGCCATGTGGCTCTGGTCGGTGTCTACCAGGAGCAACATAGGTGCAAGAATGCTAAGAGGGTATGCAAGGTCAGGTCGTGTGCAGGTCATCAGTACATGAGACAGCAACAAGCTGTGGATACGGGGCCACTCGACTCTACGGACTCATCCGAAGGCAGAGCTGAGAGCGAAGTGGCGAGTAGACAGAGGAGTGGCCTGAGCGCGAGGAGTACGTGAAGCCGAAGCGCTGAAGGACTGCTGCACCATGTGTGACTGAGTCAAGGTAATGGTGCGGCGTGCTCTGTCCCGGGTGATCTGCAAGCCAAGGTAGCTGCGCAGTTCACCCAGGTCAGTGCACGTGTGTCTCTTCTGCAGCTCGGACTTCACGTAGGCGAGTCCAGCAGTGTCAGCAGTGGCAAAGACCAAGTCGTCGACGTACACGAGATGTAGAACGGAGGCAGAGAAGTGTCGGTGCGCAGAAACAGCGACGGGTCGGCAGTAGAAGGAGCAAACCCAAGTGCCGCCAGCGTAGTCCTCAGTGTGTCGTGCCACTCACGCGGCGCCTGGCGGAGACCGTAGACTGGACGCCGGGACTCCACTGGGTACCAGGAGGGAAAGACCAAGTGAAGCCAGGTGGGACGGCGCAGCCAGATCTCCTTGTGCAGGCTGCCCTGCAAGAAAGCTGTGCTGAAGTCGAGAGAGTGAAGCTCGTAGTCCCGGTGAAGCAGCAACGTGCAGCAGTACCCGAAGAGTGGTCATCTTCGGGGGTGGGGAGAAGGTCTGAAAGTAGTCAACTCCCTGACGCTGACTGAAGCCACGAGCCACGTAACGCGCCTTGAAGACAGCGAGAAACCCGGCGGCCGCTTCACCTGAAGATCCACATGCCACTGACGATGTTCGCCCCAGGAGGGGGGGACAGCGTCAACGTAAGTGCCTGTGGACTTCCAGGAAGCCATCTCTGCATCCATAGCTGCCTGCCACTGAGAGGAGTAGGGACCCTCTATCGCCTCCGCGTAAGAGCGCGGGAGTCGGGATGTCTAGTGCATCCGGGTCTCCCTCAGGAGCGAGCAGTACACACGCGAGATGAGGTGAAGCGGCGGCCAGACACTGGAACTCCTCCTGTCTGTCCTAAAGGACGTCCGTGCCAAGGGCACACTCACCCCGACGGACGGAGGACAGGCAGACTCAGACTCAGCGACAAGACTAGCAGCGTAGTCTAGACGACAGCGCGCAGCAAAGTCGACGAGCTCAGTTGACAAGGGCAGACGCAGCAGAAGACTCGAAAGAAGAGTCAGTGACAGCAGTAGCAAGGAGACGCGTGACAGTAGGACTGGCAGCACGAAGGGAGTCCTACTCCAGGTCGGCAAGAGCAGGAAGAGATGAAGCAGGAGGAGAAGCAGGGGGCACACAGAGGAGCAGTGACGGACGCAGAGACATCGCGTGCGGTCCAGGGCAGGAGGGGGACCGGACGCGAACTACAAGCACTAGTGCTAGCAGGACGGACAGGCGACGCAGGGCGAGACGCAGGCTCACGACGCTCAGTAAGACCGTCAGTAGGACCAGAGTAAGGAGAAGGAGCAGGCAGTGACTGGACAGGCTGTGGACACACTAAAGGAGGAGGAGGACCAGGAGGAGGCGAGAGACCAAGAACCTGCTGAAGGAGCGAACGGAAGTACGGCTGAGGGCGCGCGGCGACTCCAGACACAGCAGGGACAGCACCAGTGCCCCCAGCGGCAGTACCAACGCCCGAGTCCGCAGCACCAGCAGGGACTCCAACACCAGGGTCCTCAGCACCAGTCGCAGCTCCAACGCCCGGGTCCGCAGCACTAGCAGCAGCTCCAACGCCCGGGTCGCGCAGTACCAGCAGCAGCTTCCAACGCCCGAGTCCTCAGCACCAGCAGCAGCTCCAACGTCCGGGGTCCGCAGCACCAGCAGCAGCTCCAACGCCCGGGTCCGCAGCACCAGCAGCAGCTCCAACGCCCGGGTCCGCAACACCAGCAGCAGCTCCAACGCCCGGGTCCGCAGCACCAGCAGCAGCTCCAACGCCCGGGTCCGCAGCACCAGCAGCAGCTCCAACGCCTGGGTCCGCAGCACCAGCAGCAGCTCCAACGCCCGGGTCCTCAGCACCAGCAGCAGCTCCAACGCCCGGGTCCTCAGCACCAGCAGTAGCTCCAACGCTCGGGTCCGCAGCACCAGCAGTAGCTCCAACGCCCGGGTGCCGCAGCACCAGCAGCAGCTCCAACGCCCGGGTCCGCAGCACCAACAGAAGCTCCAACGCCCGGGTCCGCAGCACCAGCAGCAGCTCCACGCCCGGGTCCACAGCACCAGCAGCAGCAGGGTCCGTGAGACGAAGGCGCGCCACTACGAAGTGTGGCAACGGCGCTCGTACCACTCACGGATCCGCTCAAGAGAGGGGAGCTCCCGACTAGGAGGAGAAGTACCAGCACCAGTCTCTGTAGCGCGCCTGGTCCCAGAGGTACCTCTCCGGAGGCTGCAGTACTGTAAGTACCACTCACGCAACTGCTCTGAGGAGAGGTCTCGTCCAGGTGTAGGACCCCCTGGCCCAGCACCGCCAGAGTCAGAACTCTCAGACCCAGCACCCCCAGGCTCAGCACCCCCAGTCACCGCACCCCCAGGCTCAGCACCCCCAGTGTCCGCACCCCAGGCTCAGCACCCCCAGAGTCCGCACCCCCAGGCTCAGCACCCCCCAGCGTCCGCACCCCCAGGCTCAGCACCCCAGCAGGAGGACGAGAGTCGACAGCAACCTCAACAGGCTCGACCGGGTCTACCTGAGACACACCTGAGGGAGCGGCACCCTGAGGGGGGAGGGGGTCTACGACAGCAGCACCTGGCGCGAGGAAGAGAGGCGGGGGTGGGAGCGGGGCAGTGCGGTAGGGGAAGAGGCGGTAGTAGGGGACAGACTCGTCAAAAGTGACGTCCTGAGAGGGCAAGACCCGGCGCGAGGTGGCGTGGTAAAGCTGCCAACCAGGCGCGTCCGGAACAAAGCCGAGGAAGACGCAGGGAACAGCACGAGAGGAGAGCTTGTCCGCAGACGAATCGCGGACAAAAGCTCGAGATCCCCAGACCCGGAAACGCGACGCATCGCCAACCTCCCCCGTCCACAGCAGTGTGGGCGAGGTCTCCGGCAAGGAGACACGGGGCCAGAGGTTGAGCTGATGCGCAGCGTACCGGACCGCAAACGGCCACAGAAAGTGGGGGGCAGCCGCATGGATCAAGGAGGTACGAGCGACCTCCATGACCAGGCCAATGCGGCGCTCCGCAACCCCATTCTGCTGTGGAGAGTCCGGAAGCGTGAACGACTGCTCAATGCCGTGCTCAGCACAGTAGGCTGCCAAGAGGTTGGAGGAGAACTCACCACCTCTGTCAGAGTGCAAGCGCAGGACGGGAAAGTCCGAGCGGAAACGCTCGCTGAGCTGGAGACAAGCTCTGCGGATCCAAGGGATCAAAACATCAGGGACCTCACCCTTGGTGCGCAAGGGGAAGACCGTGGTGTAGCGCGAGTAGTCGTCAACAACGATCAGGAAGTACCTCTCCTGACCCTGACCACGGACGCGGGCTGGGCCCGACACGTCCATGTGGAGCGTCTGCAAAGGAGCAGTCGTTGGGGGAAACGAGGAGGAGTGAGGAGCGGCGCGCTGCCGCCCCTCGACACAGGGAAGACAGGGAGGAGCAGGCGAGGGTGGGAGGGGAGGGAGGACCCTGGGAAGACCAGAGACAAGGTACCGGGAGTGCATGGCACGAAGGCGCTGCACAGACGGGTGGCCAAGTCGGTGGTGCCAGAGGACAATCTCGTGCGCTAGAGAGCGACACGAGCAGGGGGCAGACAGCTGACCTGACGCGGACGCAAACGCAGACGTAGACGCAGTGACCTGAGGGGAGGCAGTAGTCAGTGTGTACAGGTCCGACCCCGGCTGCCGGGTGAAGGTAGCCAAGTGGCGGCCCGTACGAGCACACGTGCAGTGTGTCACACGCTCGTAGGCAGGGGTGAACTGGTGAACACCCCCGTCCTGGAGAGCACAACCTGCCACCAAGTTCGTGGAGAACGAGGGGAGGTGGAGACCTGACAGTGTGCCCGACGGGACCGCAGGACAGGGAAGGACAGTGGAGGAGGTCGCAATGACCGGACCCCAGAGGGGTCAGCAAGGGAGACAGCTACTGGCCGAGCAAGGGGCTCAAGGGCAGTGCGGTCACGAAAGAAACAGCGAGAGGCACCTGAATCCAGGGTGAAGGTGTGCAGTGCTGCAGTCGACACCGTACCAGGGGGGGCAGACACGCACGCACCTAGAGCAGCAGCCTCACCAGCACCTGGGGTAGCAGACACGTGGGTACCTGGAGCAGCAGACGCACTAGTCCTAATGCCCGGGTCGGGCGGGACACTCAGGTACTCAGAACCCTCTCCACTAGTAGACATCACATACATGGCAGAGAGAATAGCATCAAAGTCTAGAGCATAGATATCAATCCCCTTCTTCAGGAGATCAAGCCAGCGGGGCAGCTCAGTGGCCTGAGGGAACTGAACACGCCAAGCGTCGCTCAGACGAGCGAAGCAACGCTGTGTGGCGTGCGGTCCCCCACACGGCTGGCCAGTGCGGTCACCAGTGCGAATGACGTATGTGCAGCTAAGGCCATCCCCCCCCCCCCCCCGTGCTGAGAGTACCACTCACGGACCTCCTGAGGCGAAGGAGTGTGCTGCTGTCCCTGGCCACCGCCAGTGCCTCCACGACCACCACTCCCGCCACCACCCCCTCGACCACCCCAACCCCTGCCGCCGCCTCGTCCACCGCCACCCCCACCACCTCCTCCGCCCCGGCCACCTCCCCCGCCGCTGCCGCCACCCCCACCACCGCTGCCCCCTCCCCCACCCGCGCCACCCCCCCCGCCACCACCTCCCCCACCACCGCCACCCCCGCTGTCACCACCACCGCCCTTACCTCCCTTGCCCTTGCCGCTGCGGCGCCCGCTCGAAGCAGACGCAGTCCCGACCTTCTCAGCACCAAGGAGGTCGACAGCAGCAGCAGAGGCGACAGAGGGAAGAAGGGGGGAGGGAGAACACCCCTCAAAGAACGGGGTACGGGGGTCACCGCGAGAGGCACCTACAGCGACTATGCTAGTCTCGGCTGCAAGGAGTTCCTTCTCGAGGAGGGCAATGGTGAGCTCGGTGGGGCAGCGAGCGAGGAAGTGGTCCCTGACCGAGCGCAGTGAGTCAGGGAGGCGCGTGACTAGGTGGTAGAGAGTGATCCAGAGCGGGGGTGGGTTCGTGGCAAGGAACTCATCAGGCATAGCGGCGCGGAAGCGAGCCTCACTAGTGCGGAGGTGGGTAATGAGGTCAGCGACAGTGTGAAAGGAAGCTAAGTCTGGGAACAGGTAGGGAAGAGAGAGACGGCCTAGAGCGGCAGAGGCCGGTGAGGAGTAGCGGGCAACGACAGCAGTGTACAGGGCCTGTGCAGTCTTGTGCTGCCCAAAGTGCTCGCGCTCATCTATCGGCAGAGAGTTGCGAATAGCGAAGCGAGCATGGGCGTCACGAGTCTGCCACTGTGAGCGAGCAGTGCTGTCGGCGGTAGCAGCAGGAGCAGTAGCGTGGCCTAGGGCGTGATCGTACAGCGAGATGACTTCCTTGGCAGTGAGCTGTAGGAAGAGGTGTAGGTCATCAAGCCAGGTGTCGAACTTCACTGGGCGGCCCTCAGCATCGAAGGCTAGCACAGGAGGGCTAGCCATGGTAGCAGCAGTAGTAAAAGCAGTAGGAGCAGTAGGGTAGGTAAGTAGGGCGGCGCGGCTCAGTTTAGGTAGGGCGGCGCGGCTCGGGTCGGGCGGCGCGGCTCGGTTCGGGCGGCTCGGGTCGGGCGGCGCGGCTCGGATCGGGCGGCTCGGTTCGGGCGGCTCGGTTCCGTTAGGGCCGGGCTGTTCGGTGCGGGCGGCGCGGTCTGGGTGGGGCCGTGCGAGGCGGCTAAGGGTGAGCGCGGGGAGCGGGTGGGGTTAGGGACGGGGCCGACGCGGGCCGAAAGGGGTAGGGACGGGGCCGACGCGGGCTGATAGGGGTAGGGACGGGGCCGACGCGGGCTGTTAGGGGTAGGGACGGGGGCCGACGCGGGCCTCTAGGGGTAGGGACGGGGGGGCGACGCGGGCCTCTAGGGGTAGGATCGGGGCCGTCGCGGGCCTCTAGGGTAGGCGCGGGGCCGTCGCGGGCCTCTAGGGGTAGAGACGGGGCCGTCGCGGGCCTCTAGGGGAAAGGACGGGGCCGTCGCGGGCCTCTAGGGGTAGGCTCGGGGCCGACGCGGGCCTCTAGGGTAGGCGCGGGGCCGACGCGGGCCTCTAGGGGACGGGCTCGGGGTCGGCGCGGGCCGTTAGGGTTAGGCGCGGGGCCGATTCGGGGCCTCTAGGTGCAACAGTGCGGGGCCTACAGGGCCTCTAGAGGCGTGAACGCCGAGGCGCCCTAGGGTAGGTAGGTAGATAGATAGGCAGGTAGGTAGTGGTGGGCCCTTAGGAAAAACGGTCCTAGGAAGGACCTGCTCTATACCATGTTGAACAAGGAATGAAATGACTAAGAATGAAATGAGTACAAATATGGAAACCTAGAAATGTGTACCCCCTATGGGCTAACCCACTGTAGCCTAAACAACTATAACAATATAAATAGTGTTTGACAGTACTCGCTATAGAGCACCCCACTACAGGCTAGAGCATAAGATAACATTCTGACACGTATGGCCCCGGATATAAGTGCAGGCCTATTATAAGCGCATGCGCTTGTATCTGGAGCAATCCGCTTATGGCCGATCCTCATTTATAAGCGCACCCCCTGTAAAACCATGATTTATTATAAGCGCATGTATAATTCTAAATTTTAAATCAGATTAAAACGGTAGCGATTTCAAATTTTGCAGTGAGGATACAACCATTTTCGCTTCGATTGACTTTCGAGGACCTCACATACTGCGCGTCCAGTCAGTATGAGCTGGCATTTCTAATAGTGACGTGTAAATTTGCCTCTGTGCGCCGGCAGAAAATCGCTCACGCTCGAATCTGAATTGTAACTCGCTACCACTTTGATTCGATTGAAATCGCAAGGAGATGTACAGTTTGGTGCCAATGAACTATAAATTTGTATTTGTTATTATATAAGCGCATGCGCTTATAAATCTGACTCAATTATAAGCGCACCCCCCCAAAAAACACCGTTTTATTATAAGCGCAGGTGCGCTTATATCCGGGGTATTACGGTAACAGGGTAGTGTACACCAAACCCTGATTCCGCCAGGGTAAGCTAAAGACCTAGCAGGGTAAAATAAAAACATGCTCTTTTAAGAGAAGGGTAACTATTTTGCAATCCTGATTTCAGCAGGGTAATCCTGAAAAAGCAGCCAGCCCCCAGGGTAATCAGGGTGTTTTACCCTGACATATTATGGTGTGGTGGAGACCAGATGTCTTTTTTGTTACACTAATTATGAGCAATTTAGGGGAATAGACAAGCAGTACCATCTGGTGGACCGTGGACTCTCTGGCACACTAAACGGAGATGAAGAATCGATGACACGGTAGAAACAATAAACCCTTCTGCCAATGGGGCAGATGTCTTTATGTAAGGCCTTATCATGGCCCGTGTGACGTATATTCAGAGGAGGCGGGTGAAGTGGAGCTCCACCTGCAGGCGGCGGTGGATGGCTTCGGGTGACGCCAGCAGCCCCTTGCGCAGGTCACTCTCCACCTCCGCCAGCGGCACCGCTGCCAGGAACGCCTTGAGGTACTCGCGGCACGCCTCCGCTCCCCACACCCTCCGCCCCGCTGCCACTGGAGCTGCGTCCCCCTCGCCCTCCCCGCCACAAGCAGGTGCCGCCGAGGTGGGAGGGGAGGCAGTGGTGGCTGTGAAGGCAGGAGACGAACCAGCAGCGCTCGACGCGGTTTGGGTGGGCTGCTCACTGCTTGCACACCCGTCAAAATTGGTGGTGCTGGTTTCCGTCTCGTATATGGGTGACTGTGATGGACCGTCAGTGTGTATCAGCAGACATGCTGTCTCGGCTGCATGCACTGCTGTAGGAAGCACTGAGTCAGCTGCAGTGGATGCTGACTCGTCACCGCATGGTGGGCTGCAGTTATCTGCCAAAGGACTATCTACATGATTTAGAGTGGTAGTGATGACAGCGGGCACGCCATGAGTGTCGGCAGGGACCAAGGTGATGCCTTCATTTGGTTGATTTGCTTGAGGCACCACCTCCTCAACCTCTGCCACATGCGGTACTTGTGCTGCTCCCTCGTTCACGTTTACCCCCTTAGCAACATCTGCTTCACAGCTCACCGTGTGCTTCACCCCATGGGGATGGGGACCCATCCCCCTTGCTCCAACGTCCACCCCACTGCTGCCTTTGCCCTTCCCACTGCCATCTTTGCCCTTGCCACTGCCCTTGCCTGCCTTCACACCCCATCGCCTGCTTGTCTCTGCCGTGGGCACCTGAGCACCAATGCCGCCTGCCTTACCCTCTGCCCTCTCTGCTTCGCCTGCCCTGCCACCCTGCTCACAGCTGTCAACTGTGCCCTGCGCTTTCGCCTGTTCCCCACCACCGTCGCCTTCACTAACCCCTCCTCCTCCTCCTGCGCCTGCCCCACCAGCAGCAGTGCTTGCGGGCGCTGCTGGGGGAGGCAGGCCGACATCCACCCAGGAGGAGGAGTCAAAGAGCAGCATGAAGGCCTGCGAGCACCCCTCGTGCAGCCGCTCGCCCAGTGTGTCGATCACCACACACTCCACCTCCCCACCCCTCGCCTCCGCCCGTGTGCCACCATGGCCTGCACCTTCACCTGTGTGCTCCCCCACAGGCCTATCCAGTGCTGCTTGCGCGCCCCCACACCCGTGTTGCTGCTGGTGGCGGTACTGGTGCTGGTGGAGTTGGGGGCGGCGCAGGAGCAGCAGGAAAAAGTGGTCGTTCCACGCCACGATGTACACGCCCTCACCCGCCTGCACCACCGCCTCCCAGATGTCATCAAACGACAGCATGCCCTCCAAAAACGCCAGCTGCTCCAAGGCCTTCTCCTCCACGCCCTTCTCCCCGACGCTTTCTGGGCTCTCCACAGTCTGTTCTTGCTTTCCTGTTTCCAACGACGCTTCAGCCCCATTGCCTTTTGCTTCTACGTCTGGCGAACTGCTTGTGCGCTTCCCCACTACTTCCTCCTCCTTCCCCTCACCCCCCTCCTCTGTATCTCTTCCGCTCTCGTCCACAGTGCTCGCTCCCGCCTCGCCCCTGTTCACATCCGCCGCATCACCCTCCGCTGCGCTGCTGCCCTGCGTGCGGGCGGCGTCCTCCTTGGCGCGCCTGGCAGCAAGGCAGGGCGGGTGGAAGAACCCCACGAATGATTGGCTGGGCACCACACACAGTGGCAGCCGGGGCATGGCTGCCACCCCACCACCATCGCTGCTGCCAGCATGGGCGCCACCAGGGTCTCTGTTTCCTCCACCATCTGTATCAGGTACCTGGCCATGGGCCTCTGCACACACGGCCTGCCCATCACAGTCTGAGTGTGCATGGGGGGCCGTGTCGGAGTGGGAGTGCTGCACGGCAGCCAGCACGGTGTCGAGGTCAAAGTGCCCATCGGGGAAGCGCTGGTGGAAGTCGCTGAGGGCGCGCAGGCGGCGCCAGTCAGCGGACCCGGCACGGATGAGGTCGTCCAGCTCCGCCTGCCCTGGCAGCGTGCCCTCCCCGTGCGCATGCTCATGCACCCACGCCGCTATGTGCGCCACCAGCAGCGCACACGCGCCCTCGCCCGCAGCACTGGCGTGGCACTGGTCCACAGTCGCCAGGAACACCGGCGCGCATAACCGCGCCGTGCCGTCGCGACTCACCACCTCACGGCGCTCCCACTGCCCCACGCGGAACTCGTCTCCGAACAGCTCCCGCACGCTTGAAGCCGACGGTGACACTGGATCTGCCTCTGCCTCCCCCGCACTCGCTGCCTGCTGCTCCTCCAGAGGCTGCTTGTAAAGGGGATGCTCCTGCTCGGCCTCGAGTGCCTTGCGCCTGTCCCAGTCGATCTCGTCCCCCCCCTCCTCGCCGTACGCCTTGTGCAGCAGCGGCTCGCCCCTCTCCTGCAGCGACAGCGTGCGCAGGAACAGCAGCGGCCGCCGCAAAAATGCACCCACCCCCGCACCTCCTCCCCCTCCGCCACCTGCCCCACCTCCGCCCGAGGTGGCAGCAAGGGGCTTGGCTGGGAGGAAGGGCGGCAGGAGAAAGGACTTGGAGGGGGGAGGGGCGTCGGCAGGGAGGGGGTCGAGCGGCGAGATGGGGGACGAGTCCCTGCTGCCTTGGGCAGGGGGAGGGCGTTGCTCGCCGTGGGTGGAGCCGGCACAGGCAGCAGGTGCGAGTTCAGACGTGGCTTCTGGTGCTGACGATGCGGGCTGTGGCGCTGGTGGCGACGGCAGGTCGGGTGTGGGCGCAGGAGCAGGGGGCGGGCGGGGGGTGGAGGAGAAGAAGAGGAAGGGCGAGGTGAAGGTGAAGAGGCGTGGCACTAAGGGCGACCGCACAGGAGCAGTCGCTTGCTGCTCCTCCTCCGCTGCACCTCCCACACCCTCTGCACCCACGGCTCCCTCCTCACCACCTCCCTCCCTGCCTGCCTCCAGTGGTGTCATGTGCACTTCTTGCATTGCAGTCTGCCCTCTCTCACTATGCGCGCTGGAGGGCTGGGCGGGCAGGGAGAGGGTGCGAGGGGGCGAGGGCAGGGCGTGGGGCAGCAGGTGCAGCATGCGCATGCGTGTGTGCACGGGTCCTCCCACGTGCCCTCCCAGGTTCACCTCTGCCAGCGGCCCATAGCACAGCGCCTCCGCTGCTACCATCTCCTCCTCGCCCTCCTCACTCTCGCTCTCTGCCTGTCCTCCCTCCTCCCTTTCCGCATCCTCCTCTGCCTTCTCCCACACTGCCAGCTCACTCGTCAAGACCCCATTCTCCTCCCACGACATGTTGCTCCCTCGCTCCTTGTTCTCACCCTCTTCGCCCTCCTCCCCCGACCCCTCATCGCCCCTCCCTCCTAGCCCCGCCACCTGTTTCCCGCCTGGCCTGCCCCGCGCACGTCCTGCCCCGTCCACCGACACTGACCGCCGCCACACCCCTCCCCGCAGCACATCCAGCAGCCCCATGCCCATGCCCGAGCCCGTGCCTGTGCCCGCACCCGTGCTCGCGCCAGCGCCTGTGCCCACAGCTACATCCACACCCCCAATGCCGGACGCCCCTCTGTTGTCTGCCGATTCGCCTTCCACCTCTGCCACAGCAGCGCGATCTTCTCCCTGCTGCTCCATGGCACCGACTGTCTCCCTCGCCTGCCGCCCCTCCATTCCCTGCCCGCCAAGCCCACTCTCCCCCTCCTCGTCCTCGCCATCACTCGCCCTCCGCTCCACCTGCCCCCACCCTGTATCGCCGTCCGTTCCCTCCCAATCGGCCTCCTCCTGCTGCGCACCTCCATTGCTCTGCTCCGCGCTGCCGCTGCCAGCAGCCCCATGCCCTCCGCCCTCGCCTGCCCTGCCCGCCGCGTCCAGGGGCAGCGCGGGGCTCTTGCTCTCCCGGGTGCGCCGCTGCCACCCCCACAGCCCCCCCAGGTGCACCCCGCCACCCCCAGCCTCCCTCACTCCCGTCCCTGCTGCTGCTGGCCCGCCCGCGGCTGGAGTGGGTGGCACTGTTGCCGGTGCTGAGGCTTGGGCCGGGACTGGTGCTGCCAACTGGAGTGCGGCTGGGGATGGGGGGGTGGATGCTGCTAGCGGCAGCTGAGTGCACTCCACTGTCACCTGCCCGCGCACAGCAGCCCACACACACACAAGCAGAAACGCCTCAGGGTATTGTTGGCACACAGACGCATGCTGAAACGGAAAAGCGAGCATATGGCTGAATGGAAGGGGTGGTGAGAGGGTGCCGGGCAGCGCGGGGGGGCCAGGGGCAGTGGCGTGAGTGGCGACCTGCAGCAGGCCGACGGGGGGCGAGTCGGGGGGCGCGAAGAGGAGCAGCAGGTGGTGCGTGAGGGGCTGCGTGGAGAGCGGCGCGGCGAGCGGCGCCACGTCCAGCACCACCGACGCCACCTGCTGGGGCCGCTCCCTGGGCCTGCTGGGTGCATGCTGTAGTGCAACAAAGGGGGGAAATGGAGGGAGTGGGGCAGGTAAGGCAAGAGCTAGGGCTACAATATATAGGAAAAAGACACGAAATTGCATACTTGTGTTATGAAAGACATGGAAGAATGTTCAGTGGAGATGGGATTGACACATGGGAGATGCGCCCTTCACAAATCCCACCTTGTGCACGAGCAGCACCACCTCCCACGGCTGGAAGAGGCAGCCCTTGCCGCACGCCTCGCCCTGCCCGCGGGCGGCGCGCAGGGCGGCGGGGCAGGGCAGCAGGTGGCAGTCGTGCGCGAAGCCCTCCTCCCACCGCACCATGCCGTGCGGCCCGCGCGGCGGCTGTGCGCTGCTGCACCCGCGCTTCACGGCGCGCCCGAACATGGACCCCATCAGCCCCGCGCGCGCGCCCTTCCACCGCACCTCCACTGCCAGCAGCGCTGCTTCCGCCCCCTCCTCGCCCTCGCCCGCCGCTGCCTCCGCAACGGCTGCTATAACGGGTGGCACGGCAGCAGGCGCAGCACTGGCAAGATCGCAACTGCTGGCCTTACCTGCAGCCGCTCCTTGTACTGCTTCCACACTCGCTGCCTGAGCCTCCACCGCCACTGCCGCTTCTGCTGTCGCTGCTACTGCTGCGCCTGCTCCTGTTGATGCGGCTGTTGCTGCTGCTTGCTGGGTCTCCGACGGGCCTGCCCGGTCAAATGCGCCGAGAGTGGTTGCTGTGACGGCAGGGGCATCAGCCGGCAGCAGCATGGAGTAGGACCCGCTCTCACCGCTCCACTGCCCATACCTCTCTGCAACAGCTGGTCCATCAACCGATCCCGCGTCGCCTGGGCCGGCGGGAGGTGCGCTCCGTAGGATGCCTTCAAGCACGGGAGGCAAGGCGCCGTCCGCCGTCCCCTCCGCTGTGAGCGGGGAAAACCCGCCAGCCTGGTGGCGAGCTGAATCCGCGAGCGCTGCGAGGGCGGAGAGCACTGCGGGCGGAAGGGCTGCTGGGGATGCGAAGCCGAAGGCGTGGTCGACGGTGAGGGAGACGGCCACGGACCGAGGGCCCAGCACAGCGCTGGCCGCCTGCTGCTGCTGCTGCTGCTGCTGCTCCTCCCGCTGCTGCCGCTCTTGCTGCACCTCTTCCTCCTGCACCTGTTGCTCCTGCTGCTGCACCTGTTGCTGCTGCTGCTGCTGCCCTGGCTGATCGTCCGGCCTGTTGGAATGCATGCGCACGGGGACGTCGCTCGGCTCCCCGCACTGTGCCGCAAGGGCGGCCTCGCTGGCGCGCTCCTCGTGGTCGACGCCGCGAATCCACGGGTGCAGCTGCGGCAGCGACACGGAGCGATGGCTCATCAATGCCATTCTTGTGTGACAGGCGAAGTGACCAAGCTGAGCAACGCGAAACTCTATCACGACGCAAAGTCACGACAGATCATGAAGAATGTTTCACATTCGGATCGCCATGATGCTCGACAATCTCCATTGCCTCCCTTCATGGCGCCAACGACTCACGCGGACACCTGTCATTGTCACGCAATGCTTCAAAAGAATCAATGGCTCTTCCGCAACCAATGTCCCAATATCCCAGCCATATAATGTTTGCCTACTACTGTAAATTCCTGTCTATTCTCGTATTTGCTGAAGAGAATGGGGAAGTGGGTGGCCTTCACATCTTCTCATTGGTTGTCGCGCGTCACACTCAGGTCGAAATCAAGGAGGTGCATGAAGGGGGGGGCGAGTGACAGGGGGAGAGCAGTAGAGTTGGATGGCGGGCGCGGAATCAACATCGCTGGAGGGGGGGGTGCTGATGATGCGGGCGGGATCTCAAGATGAGTGGCATGAAGGGACGGTGGTGGGGTGGGGAACGGAAGGAGCGCGTCAAAAGGGATCGGCAGGAAAAAGACGACCTCAAGCGGGTGGGGTGGGGTTGGGGATAGAATGGGAGTGGTGCAAAAGCGCAGGACACACATATCGCGGATCTGCTCTCGTGTCCCCCGGGGTTCGCGCGCAACCATTATCTCCCAGCGAAGGCACAGGGTTACCTAGGTTCATCGTTTGGGGTCGAATCGCAGAGAGTGTGCAGCTGCCCTATGTTTTGGGAGAGGGGATAAAGTACAAAATAGAATACGAATTCTTGGCAGGGCCGTGCGAGAACCTTTGATCTCGATTGGCATGGCGAGGGTACTAGTGTTACGCTGCCTCTAAAGTGGTGCCCTGGTCCAGCTTACAGGTAAGACAATTAGCAGATAGGATATGCAGTAAATGTAGTACATACATGCTATGGCAACAGGTGCCTTGGCACATCCAGAACGGAGTGCCTTGAAAGGAGTGGACCGCGAAGGAGTGAGGAGTGGTCCTCCAGAATCCTGATTCATAACGGTCGATGGGTCCAGCCCAGCATCGCACATCACCATGCAAACCAAAAACAAGCATGTCTTGTGCAGCTGCGGCAGCGCAACACCACACGCACGCACCCTTACGTGTGCCGTAAATGCATTTATTGGATCACTTGGCAACAAAGCATGCCGCTCCTGCAATCCCCATGGGACCACCTCGGCATCGTACCGCTCATCACCTCACCACATGGCACTTCACCTTCATACGTGCACATTGTGCTGTAATTAGCTATTGGGCCGCCACGCTGACATGGCAAGCAGTGGTTGGTCCTTCCAGTTGAGAGTGAGGCTGTTGGGTTGTTCTGACGACAGCGAGTACGGGCCCTTGTACCTGCCATGGGGGAGCGGAAGGCAGCAGCTCAGCAGAGGAAGAAGAGAGAGCACTACAGGACAGAACAGTGGCATCACAAGCGGACACGCATGGATCAGCCAAGCCCAGCACACGCACGTGGAGAGCAGGGCGGTGGCGGTGGCCACCACCTCACGGCTGAGCGGGTACCCCACGAACCCGGCGCGGTGCACGCGGCGCTCCCACTGCCCCAGCGGCTCCTGGCGCTCTGTGCGGTCCTGCCCCTCACACGCCACCACGTTCACGATGGCGCGCCCCAGCACGCGCTGCTCAAACAGCCGCCGCTCCGTCGAGTCCGCGGGCACGGACGCGTCGAGGGCGTCGAAGATGGATGCGTAGTAGTGCAGCGCCTCGAGGAAGCGGCTGAGGAAGAAGGGCGAGTTGTGGTTTGTGTTCTGCTCCACCAGCGTCGTCACCGCGGGCGCCAGCGCGCGCATGGTGCGCAGCACGGCGGCGCGCGGGTTGGAGGGCGTGACGGACTCGTCCATGAGGTTGTGCAGGCGCAGCGCACAGTTCACCACGAGCACCTCGTCCGCCTCGCAGCGCACCATGGATGGCTGCAGGTCCGGCAGGTTTATGGGGATGAAGTTAAACGTGAATGGCACCCCCCAGCTCTGCGCCACTTTCTGCAGCGCTCAACACGGGATGGAGGGGATGGGAGGAGGGCAGGAGAGGAAGGTCGCGTCATGTGTGAGTGATGCCGAGGCTGTGATGTGAGTTGCCTCTTGTGGGTATGTTAGGAACGATAGAGGAGGTGAAAAGGGAAAAAAAGAAAAGAAAAGACGAACGGGAGGAGAGGGAAGTGAAGGAAGGAGAAAGCGGGCGGTTGGTTGGTGGGGAGAGAGAGCGAGAGAAGGGGAGACGCACGCGGAGGCGCTGGCCGGCCTGGCGGAGGCAGTAGCCCTTGTGGATGCCCGCCACAAAGGGGCGAGAGGAGGGCGATGGGTGGTGAGACACTGAGACCGCTAAGACTCACCCTTAGGCGCTGGCCGGCCTGGCGGAGACAGTAGCCCTTGTGGATGCCGGCCACAAAGGGGCGGTCGATGCCCGTTATGCGCAGGTGCGGTGGGCCCCCCGGCAGCACTGCCAGTGCCTGGATGAGTGGCGGCCACTGCACGGCGTGACCCAGCCCGAAGTCCACTATGTGCACCTTGCGCGCTCCCTGTATCGCCTCCAGTATGGCGCTGTTGCATGCCACGTGCCCAAACGTCAGGTACGGTGACGCACTCACCAGCACCTGTGGGTGTGGGTGCCGTAAGGGCAGGGGGACATGGGGGTGTGCGGAGTGAAGGCTGAGGCAATTTTGCACGAATTGAAGTGTCTATCAAGAACCCCCCTGGCTATGCAATACTCCTTCCTTCTGGCAAGACTACCACAACACCTTTCCTCCTTACAGCCACCGCCCCGCCTCAGACGTTCCAATAGTATCGCCACCTCAACCGCCCTCACTCACAGGCTCACCGCCCCCATCCCAACCGCCCTTACAACCCCCCCTTCACCTGGAAGGCCCACCCCTCCTGAAGCGGCTGGCTGACCTCAAAGGCGCGCAGCAGCGGGGCATCGCAGTCAATGGAGCGGTAGATGCCCAGCGAGCCTGCTGCCCCCGCGCCGTCACTGCCGGGGCAGCCGGCGCCCGTGGGCGCCGTGCCGGAGGCGCGGGCGAGCAGCCCCTCGAGGAAGTAGGCGGACACACGCTGTGTGGCGTCCCCGTACACCGACGCCACCGCTGTCAGGCGCTCCACCAACACGTGCACCTGGGGGGGGCGGGGGGGAAGGGGGGCAGATGGGAAGGATGGGTGCGTGACGGGATGGGGGAGATGGCCGCAAGGCGTTTCACCAGCACGTACACGGCGCAGGGCGGTGGCATGGGCGCGTGATGGCATGGGGGGGATAGGAGATGGCATGCGAGAGATGAGACGCACCTGCTCTTGTCACGGCCACAAACCGAGCTCGGCTCTAGCCGTGCCTCACCGCACCTGTACCTTCTCCCCCCTCACCTTCTCCTGCTCCCCCCTTCTCACCCTCTACCGTTCGCCTACCACTCACGCGGTGGTGGTCGCCGGACACAATGGCCTTGGCGATGTCCAGCAGCATCTGAATCACCGCCGACCGCCCCGTGCCCGTGCCGCCACTGCTGCTGCCTGCTCCTCCTCCTCCTGCCGCCGCCTGCACCCCATGCTGCGACTGCTGCATCGCCTGTCCCTGCTGCTGCCCCTGCTGTTGCCCTTGCTGCTGCCCCCCTGCTGCCACCCCTCCTGGGAGCCGCCCGGGCTGTTGAGCGCAGCCCGCTGCATCTGCGCCATCAGTTCCTCCGCGCGCCCTTGGCTATCCGCGCGCCCCTGGCTCTCCCCCGACCTCGCACTCCCCGTCCCCTCAACTCCCCCGCCCTGCTGCCCCGCGCACTGCCAGCCATCCCTGGCGCAACTGGTGGGGGGATGCGCGGGCGCCATGCCTTGGGGGGCGGGCACCATTCGGTCCACCGCCATCCCCAGCAGCTCCTCCTCGCCCATGCCCGCGCCCATGCCCATGCCTGCGTCCCCTGATGCGCCGTGAAAGGCGCCCGGAGGAGCGGAGAGGAAGGCGGGGTTGAGATCGTGGGGGAGCAGCGACTCCATCTCGTCGAAGGCGAAGGTGAGCTCGTCCAGTCCGCGGAAGAAGTCCGCCTCCATGTACTCCGCGCCCAGCGCCACCGGCTCCACCTGCTGCACGCGCGCCATCCACTCCGCCGCGCTCAGCTCGCGCAACTGCTCCGCCACCGAGTTCGGCCCGTGCCGCGGCCACACGCCGCCGCCGCCCGCCTGCCCCGGCACGAAGGGGCACGGTGCGGGGGAGCCGCCGGGGCTGGGCTGGCCGCCGGAGGTGGAGGGGGAGGGGGAGAGCTGCTGGCAGGGCTGGCCCGCGGAGTTTAGCGGCACGGCCGCCGCCTGCGGTTGCTGAAGTGGCGTAAGGCCATTGGAGTGCGACGAGGACGAGCTAGCGGACGGCCCAGGCGACGTTGTGCGATTGCCCTGCGACGAGGCGCCAGAGGTGGCGGGCGGAAGGGAGCAGGGATAAGAAATCGGCTGCGGCGGAGGGCGCGGCTGCGGGGCGGGTTGGCGGGGGTCGGAGGGCGGAACGAGCGGCTCCTGCGTGTTGCCCCACAGCTGCTGCAGCGTCGCCGTCAGATCCCGCGCCGTGCGTTGCGGCGGCGGTAGCGACGGCTGCTGCTGACCGCCGCCGCGCGTGTTGCCGCCGTGCGAGTGCGTGTGCGCTCCTTGGTGGCCGCCGCACGGATGATCTGAACGGGCGGGGAGCACGGGGGAAGATAGAACGGGGCGCGGGGGAGGAACGGGGAGCGCGGGGAGCATGGATTCATGTGAGAGAAATGTTGCACTACTGACGGTAATGAAGACGGGGATACAGAAGGATCTCGTTACCGAGACACGGTACGAATACGCACGAACTTTAAAGACGGCTTAAGAGCCAAGGCGACGGGCGGACGGCACGGACCTTGCACGATGCGGCACGTCTTGAGCTGCACGTGCATCCACGCGCGCTGCAGCCGCTGCTCCAAATCCGACGGCACGCCCTCTCGTTCACCCGCCATGACGAGGGGGGCTCGCGTTACGAACAGATTCTGTCGGCAAAGCAAAATCTAAAAGTCACTACAAACCACTACGGTGCGGAGCGCAGCTATGGCTGTGCGCGTTCCCTGTGTGTCGATTTTCTTGCTATGATGCCTAACGAACAAAACGGACAAAAGCGAGGCTGTAATAATGCCTTGCGCACACGCCGCATGGTACTAATATCGTTCAAGAATGGCTCACCTCAGACCTCTTTTGGGTGTATCGTACCGTACGACGCGTGCAGGCGTACACCACAGTGCTTACCGCATTCCCATGTCCTACAGTGAAATTCCAGTTAGACTTCCCCTGCTTCACAATGATTCATTTTTTACACAACGCTTACTTTGAATGAGCATGAGTGCGTTATCATTCAAGAAACTTTGTTTTATATACTACTAAGACATGATTGACTACCCTCAACCATGTTTCTCCTTTCTGTGGAGCCAAGTGGGTTTACCCTTATTTCACATTCTAAACCTTTCAAACCATCTCTCACATCCTAGTGTTGTTTATCATGCTGGAACTGGTGACCTCGCACGCTCCTTGACAGTCATGTACAGTCCCTGTAAAAGCAGAAAACATGAAGAATGGTGAGGAGCTGCAGAAGGTGCAGACAGGTGCAGTAAGGTGCAGTAAGAGAATGTGGTATGCGTACGTTCTTGGTATGGATGGTGGCGCCGGTGGTCATGCTGATGTCCTGGTTGGGCACGAGCGCGAAGTCAAACTCGCGGACGAGCACCGACAGTGCACAGATGGCCTCCAGCATCGCAAACTGGTCCCCTATGCACTTGCGCGGGCCGCCGCTGAACGGAATGTACCTGGTAATGGGGGGGGGGATTCACAGGGAGTATAGCATTGATGTAACAGGGCATGGCACCAGGGACCTAATGGGATCACTCAGAAGCTGGCAAAGAACGAGCAGGTGCGGGCTAAGCAGTTGCATTGAGTGAGATTGGGTGACACAGCGGTGCAGTGCGCGCACCTGTAGTCGGTGTTGACCTCGTTGGGCACGGGCGCATCGAGGTCAAACCGCTCCGGCATGAACTCATCCGCGCGCTCCCACACCTGCCATGCCATGCACCATGCCGTGCCATGCACCATGCCGTGCCATGCCATACCGCGCAGGCAATGCCACGTGGGTCGATACCATGAAAATAAAGTTGGGACGTTAGTAAAGGACCTCAAATGGGATCAGGGAATGCGATTGCAGGTGAAGGGAATGAGGCCAGGGTGCAGAGATGAAAGGGGTTGGATGAAGAGGGAGTGAGAGAGAGGCATGTGTGCACGTAGGCACCTGCGGCGAGTGGTGGATGTTGTAGACGGAGATCATCATGTCCTGCCCCGGCTGCACCTTGTACCCCCCCGGTAGCACATCAGCCACCACCGCCCTCCGGATCAGAATCTGCATGCACAGCCCACGCAGGGGAAGGAAGGCAGGGCAGAGGGCGGGCAGGGCAGAGGGCGGGCAGGGCAGAGGGTGGGCAGGGCAGAGGGCGGGCAGGGCAGAGGGCAGGCAGGGCAGAGCAGAGGGCAGGCAGAGAGTGAGTCACACATGAGGACCCACCTCCTGACAGGCACACAAATGCCAGCAGCAGCGAGCAGCAGCGCTTGGTGCGTGCGCCTGTTAAGCACTGCCAACAAGGACACATACAGCCGTGCATGCACCGTGCAGCAGCACCATGTGCACAAACCATGGCACATCATTCCTTGTCCACTCGTCCAACCAATCACATTGTATGCAGTGACCAGGAGGGCGGGTGTGAAGGAGTGCAGAGTGGTGCAAGGAGCCGTTGGGTGGTGCAGTGCAGCGTAGAGGTGCTTGCGTTGTGCCTCCTCGCAATGCACAGACCGAGAAGCCCCAATCACATAGATAGCACTGACCGGGGGGTGGGGGTAGAGGCGCATGGACTCGTTGATGCAGCGCGTGAGGTACTTGAGCTCCCTCGTGTCCGCCAGGCTCGGATGGCTCTTCCCAGCGAGAACCCTCTCCGCCTCCTCCTGTGCCTTGGCCATCTTCTCTGGGTGCTGCCATGAGAAGTGCCGGGGAGGGGGACAGCGGATGGGCAGCGGAGAGAGGGGGGGAAGAGAGAGCGGATGGAAGGGGAAGGGGAGGCGAGGCGAGGAGGGGTGGCCACGGGGTGAAGCAGAAAGATAGATCGCGTGAAAAGGGTGGGTGTGAAAATGAGGGATGTTCTGTGAAAGAGGTGTGTACGTGTACGTTTATGCGAGAGGAGGGTGAGTGTGAGAAAAGGGGATGAGTGTGCAAAAGGGTTGGACGGAGTGTGGAAAATGGGGTAAGCGTTTGAAAGGTGCGAATCCATGTGAAACGGAGGCGAGTGAGTTAAGGCGGGGGTGAGTGCATGGAAAAATGGTGAATGTGCTTATAGCTAAGGAGACGAGGGGGCGTGGGGAGTGTGGGAGGGCGGGCGTGCCTGGGCGAGGAGGTAGACGGTCCAGGTGAGCACGGAGCCCGTGGTCTCATGGCCCGCCACCAGCATGGACAGCAGGTCGTCCCGTAGCTGCACGCTCGACACCTGCTCCATGCCCGTGCATGCAGAGGGGGGTTGGAGAGAGGGGGGGGTGGGGGGGGAGAAGGGGGGGAGGGGAGGCGCGGATGATGATTCATGCGTGTGTCCAGCACGTGGAGCGCACGGGGTGTGGCCGTGCGCATAGCTGAGCAGCAGAGACGACAAGGAGCAGAGTGGACACACGGTGGGCATGGGAGGGACGTTGCATGCGAGCTCACCTCTTCCCTTGAGGCGAGGAGGAAGCGCAGGATGGAGGGGTCGCTCTCGTTGACGTACTCCTCGTCGTCCCCCCGCCGCTCGTTCTCCGCCTCCACCATGCGCTTGCACTGCGCCACCAGCTCCTCCACTGTCTCGCGGATCACCCTCACCGCCTCCGCCGCCTTGCGCTGCCGCGGCACTATCGCGCACAGCAGTGGCACCTGCGCAGGTGGCGGAGGCACGAAGTGTGGGGGGGTAGGGGGAGGAGAGAAGGTGGGGGAAGGGAATGGGGGAGGTGTGATGGCATGGGAGCGTCGTTACTGCTGGAAGGGGGAGCTCCAGCGCCTCGCTGTGAGCAGCGATGGGCTTGGGGAATGCATGGGCGGTACGAACTGCACTGCACACGCATCTCTGCCTGTGCCAGGCTGTCGGCCACAGTCTGACAAAGCTTCGACTGGCCTGACAGATTGAGAGCTTTGCTCTTTTTCTGCTAAGCTTATTTGCAATCCATCTCCAGTGTTAGGTAAGTGGCGGCCTACTTCGGGTTCACAGCACCAACCGCCAACCGCCTCACCTGTCTGTACCGCAATGCGCGCGCGCACCTGCCAGTAGGGGAGGATGTCGGTGGAGCGCGACTCGGTTTCCTTGAGCGCGGTGTAGACGGCCTGGATGAGCGGGGAGTCGGTGGAGAGCGAGTCGAACTGGAAGTTGAACACGGCCAGTCCGATCACGTCCAGCGTCAGCTGAGAGAACATCGCCTCCATGTTCACCTCCTCGCCGCGCGCCGCGCTGCCGCGCAGCTTGTCGACCAGGTGCTGCGTGCTGCTGGCGAACACCGTCGCCACCATCGTCTCCAGATACCGCCGGTGCAGCGACGGCCCCACTGCGCGCCGCCGCGCCTGCACGCACCACATGCCACGTGTCGGGTGTGGGTGCACGGGCAAGAGTTTCTACGTGGATCGTGCAGACGCGAGTCACGGCGCAACGGAAGGAGAGCGCGAAGGAGGCAGCGAGCGTGGGGTGCAAAATGCGGCAGCGGGGGTGCGGAATATGGCAGAGCGCGTAGAGAGCGCGTAGAGAGCACGTACGGTCCAGAGGTCGCCTTCGGCGATGGCGAAGCCCGAGCCGAAGAGGAACTCCGCCACCTCCGCCACGAGCCCCTTGGCGTATATCGACCCGTACCCCCGCAGCACGTGCTTCGCCGCCTCCGGCTCGCCGATTATCACGAAGTTGCGCGGCCCCGCCGCCAGCCTGCGCGAGGGGGTTGTGGGGGAATGACTCGGGCATAGCTGGCAGGCCAACGGGCCTCCTCGGCAAGTTGTGGAGCCATGCATGTTCTCCTGACAACAGCGGGCTCTCTCACAACAGTTGTTTCGCCTGACAGCTTTTTTTCCTGACAATATTAAATCCCATTGCCTCATTCTCCTATCGGAGCATTCTCCTGGACATCAATTGGTCTCTCAGACTTGCAAGCGGACAACAAGGCCATTGCACTTCATCTCTTGCACCGACATTCACGCCATTGCCGTTCAGGCACCCCAAAAGCGATCAAAGTCGATCGCAAACGACCCATTCATGCGACTCACCGGTAGACGGGGCCGGACTCGAGCATATGACTCACCGGTAGACGGGGCCGGACTCGAGGCATATCACTGACCGGTAGACGGGGCCGGACTCGAGCATATCACTGACCGATAGACGGGGCCGGACTCGAGCATATCACTGACCGATAGACGGGGCCGGACTCGAGCATCCACTTGAAGAGCGGCAGGAAGAGCGCGCCGCCCAGCAGGTCCTTCACGTCGTCCAGCTTCGCGTCCGCCACGGGAATGCCCGAGTCGTCCGGGCCGCGCAGCTTCTCGAACAATGACGTCAGCCAATCAGGGCTCACCCACGTCATCCCCGCACCCGCCACATCCTTATTGCTTCCTGAGTCATCTTGTCTACCAGCCATGGCCACCAGACGACCTTTCCTAGCGGCGCCATTCCCTCGGTTTCTACGTGACGCGATGCGAGCGGTTTGACGAGGCTCGCCTGTGCAGAAAGACGACGACGAGGAGGCGGCTGCGGACGAGCCCAGACGTAGCGACACTGCGTGCGAGCAGGCAATTCCTGTAACGGGAGCCATGCTTCGGATGCTCGTGACTTGCAAATCAGAAATCCTGATTCTCAGGAAATTATCACCTGCAGCAAATGTTAGGAGCAGCAGGTGTTGTGCTGCGTGAAATGAACACAAACCAGTCACAGAACTCCGCGAAGATCCCAGTGCCGAGGATAAAAAGTGTGGAGCCTCGCTGGAAAAGCAACCCCCAAAGCAATCCAACCCCGGGTGTGCCACGTCTGCACTACGTGGTAGCCCTGTCGAACCTTACCGACAGAGCACGCCCAGGTGGCAAAGAATCCAAGCCATCGCGAATGGCTTGCACCGCACCTTGTTGTGCTGGCCTCATCTCCTTAACGAGGATATTGCCTGCACTTCTAGCCTCTTAACTTTTCCATATATTTCTCCGCATTTAACAAACCGTTTCACTTACAAACCATTGCTGCATTCGATAATGACTGTTAGTGAATGGGTGCGTAGTGTTACGATGTGAAGTTTTATGAGAAGGCATTCCTGTATGCTGCAGGAGCCGACTCTACCGAGTACGAAGTTGAGGAGTCAGAAAGAGCTGAAGCGACACAGCAACTGTCAGACCAAGACCGATGCAAACAACTAAAATGAAAAGAGCGGGAACAGGTTATGAAACGGGTTCCCGCGTCGCACGGTTTTCTTTTTGAATTCAGTCACAATAAGGGAATGTACCCCTTAGAATACATGGCTAGCCTAGGTCCTTTCGTATTCCCTTGTACTCTTATATAAACCCGATGTATGCATGTTATTATCATCTCAGTAATTTACATTCACTCTGACCTGAGGTCTAAACTTCCGCTGCAATACCACTCTGCGATCAACCCTGAGCGATCCTTTGCTAAGTCCCACTTGGGATTGTAACATGGTATGAGAGCTACTCAGGGATTCTTCGCTACCTCACTTCCGCAAAATTCGCCGAATCAAGACCTGGCGAGTGGCACACGCTCCAAGACCAAGATGGCCGGAGGATCCGGAGGCCAAGCAAATCTGACGGCTGAAGGACAACCCAACCCAGCTGCGACAAGTGAGGCGACAACCACGATCGGCACTGCCGCCCTCGAGCAACTTTTCGCTCGACTTTCAACTATGGAGAAAGAACTCCAAGAACTGCGCAAATGCGATGCGGGAATCTCTTCCCAACCAGCACAACCTGGACAACCGGCTGAGAAAAGCCGTGATACCGCCGCGCACACCTTCTCCCTCGACACAAACAAATCAGCAACAACTGCCCCCCGTCCAAGCGATGAGGCTATCAACTCTGCGCAAGCACGCTTTCTCAGCGTTTCAAAAATTAAGACTACTGCCGCGTTCGACGGCAAGGATTTCTACACATGGAGTTTTGAGCTGGAGCTCCTCCTACAAACAGCGCAGATCTACCATTACTTCGACGGCTCTTACTCTAAACCGGTTGAAAACACCGACGTCGCCAGGGCTCAGTACTACAGTGAGTCCCTCATGGCCTACAGCGTACTACTACGCAACATGACGCCTGCGGAACAACTCAACATACGCTCCTACAAAGAGAGCGACGCTCCAGCAATGGAAGTCTGGAAGCACCTCGTTGAAGTTTACCAGCCGAAGGATTCGGTCACCTCCAGCAGGCTTCTCCAGCAACTCCTGGAGATAAAAATGGGGCACGGGGAGAAGGCAAATCCATATATTAACCGCTGTCGCAACATCCGTGACCAGATCACGAAGCATGGGAGTACGATCTCAGAAGAGATCTTCGTCAATATAGTCCTTCAAGGACTCGGGCCTGAGTGGAAGCCCTGCAAAGCGTTACTCCGACAGCGAGGAACAATTTCAGAAGCCGCGCTATGCGCCGCACTCCTGTCTGAACAGCAAGACATGGACTCAAGCAGAACAAGCTCCGCGCCGCGCCGAGAGCGCCTCGCCTTCTACACGGACAACCGAGAAGAGCGACGACAACCAAGGCGCCATTACTGCAAAATATGTAAAGTTTTCGGACACTCAACGGATCGATGCAAATCCCGATCCAACTACCGCCACCCAAATTCCACTCACCACAACAACTGGGTCGGCCGACAAGACGCTCGTCATCCTCAATCTCAGCAAGCTTGTCCTCCTGCGCAACACCAACAAAATCAAGGACCACAGTCAGGAGCTCCCAGGAACGTCATCGCAAATATGACAGCACGACGTCGACGCACCACTGAACCTGACGAGGAGAACGAAGTCCAAGGAAGATTACTGGAACTAGAAGAGGGATGGAATGATCCCTTCACCGAGGATCACTACTACCTGTACGACGAAGACGAGCAGGACTGGAATCTTCCAATCACACTGCGGGAAAGCCCGCCTCACGAAAATCAGCACTACGTACCAGTGGGCTGGAAGGAAAACGAAGATCCTCACTTCCACAGGCGCTTCAAGACCACCCTGGTAACCCCACGACTGGCGCTGCTGCTGCGCCACAACAACACCGACAACTACAACACCTGGTACCTTGACAGCTGCTGCGGTCAGCACATGGTGGGGTCCACGCGCTATGTCTCTAACCTAAGTCGCGCCCCTGCAACTTATGTCACCGTCGCCAACAACGAACAACTGCGCGCAAACTCACAAGGACTCGTCGTCCTGCAAGCAGGAGACAGTGACACACACATCTCGTTCAACGACGTACTCTACGTCCCGAACCTGCGCTTCAATTTGCTCTCCGCTGGACAACTACGCGATTGCGGCGTCATCATCCACACGGACCTCGCAACGCGCGACCTCATCCTCACCTACGCTACCCCGGACACTCCTCCTGAGGCATTCAAGTACCTCGGACGAGCGCGTTCCATCAACGGGATCTATATCCTAGACTTCGACATACCTTCCTGTCAAGCCTCGTCAGACGAACTCGTGGACCTTGTCCCCCTCGACTTCGCCTTCATGAACAAGGAGTCTTGGGAGCATCCGGATGGGAGACCGTGGGTTCGCCGAAGTCCTCACCCGCGTGAAATTAATCTTCACGACACTGACGCTCACAGACTGTGCACCACCTGTCACACGCCAACCGCAAGTCAAACGGAGCAAGTGGAAAGGGAGCAAGCGGCAATTCAGGAAGCGGAAAGCGCTGAGACTCAACCAGCAGGCATGACTACAGAAGAACTCGCCGTATCGTCACACCGCATATTCGGCGAGCCAAACGAAGAACTTGGGCAACAACAGCAGGAGAGACCAAGGCCTTACTCAGACTCCCTACGATTCGTCCTCGAAGCCAACACACGCACTCTCGACGACGAAGGACGCCCACGTTCGTACACTCGCGAAGTCTATCGCCGCGAGATTGACCCTGCCTGGAAAGATCCTGACGCACCAGAAGAGCTGAGCGTCAAAGAAGAACAGGAGAAGGCCCAAGCGGAGAAGAGGCAGAAGCTGTATGAGGAGCGCATCGCGGCAGGATGGGACCCAGACACTGCGCACGGCGGATGGGGCAAAGAGCCCGCTGATCCGGAAGAAGGCGCACTCTTGGGTTCCGCAACTGGAGCATGGGGAACCGGCACAACCACCACCGGAGGATGGGGAGACAACGAGCCTCCCGAAGGGGAGCTCACGCAAGAGGAATTAGAGGATGCTGAACAAGAAATGCAAGCTGAGCGCGGCAACGCATCACCTCGAGTCACCATCCCCCTCGGTCGACCCCCACGCACTAGCGAACCACCTCGCTCACCCTATCACTGGCGTGATCCCCGGTCGGAGATTGAGGAGGGGAATATACCTCCAACACCTCCGCGAGACTCACTCGGTCCAATCTCTCGCCCAGATCTATACGCCCGCTTCATCGAAGGCACCACGACCCCGCTCACGATCATTCCCGCTCGCGAATTTCTCGCCCCGTATCTCTCAACGGCACCTGCAGAAGGGGAAGCAACAGCAGAAGCAGAAGCAGAGGAGGCGAACAACGAAGCAGAACCAGGAGAAGCGGAAGAACCCCCGCTCCAGATTCCAGAACTCACAGCGGAGGAGGCAGCAGAGTACCACACCCGCTACAAACGTACTTCCGGCATCCGTGCCGAAGATGACCTCTGGCACCAGCGAATGGGACACCCCTCGCACCAGACACTCGCCAATTGCCTCCATGCAAAAGTCTTTCCGCCAGGAGCACTGCTGCGGCCCGATGGGACGGAGTTACAACACACCACCCCCCACCCAACCACCTGCACAGTTTGCCCCACAGTCGCACTCTCTCACGCTGCCTATCCCTCTCTGGAGCCAAGCACCAACCGCTACAAGAAACTAGAGAAGGTGTACAGCGATTTCATCGTACTCACCTGCGACGGACTCAACGGCGAAAAGTACACGCTGACCTTCATCGACGCCTACTCACGCCACGTGTGGGTTGCCAATGTTGACGCCCGCTCCAAAGCACCGGAGGTGTTCCGTGTCTTCCTCGCGCACGCGCAGCGACAGTCCGGAAGGAAACTGAAGATCTGGCAGAGTGATGGGGCAAAGGAATTTCGCAGCCATGAACTGGAGAGCGTGCTCATTGAGAAGGGAATCAAGCACGAGATTTCCCTTCCCTATGCTCACCAGCAACAAGGCGTTGCTGAGAGGGTCAATCGAACCCTCATGACTAAAGTTCGCGCCATCATGAACCACTCCGGCTTGCCAAAGAAATTTTGGCCGTACGCCATGAATCACGCGGTGCGCCTGCACAACCTTCTCTCAACCACCGCCAACAGGGACAACCTCTCACCCCACATGAAGTGGACCGGATCAAGGGGAGATCCCTCCATGCTGAGGGTTTGGGGGTGCATGGTACAATATCGGCCCACTTCAGCCACAATCGGCAAGTTCGTTCATCGTGCGCGCTGGGGAGTTCATCTCGGACTCAGTCACGAACATAAAGGATGGCTCATCCTTGACATGGACAACCAGGAAATTGTCCCTGCACGTGACATTCTCTTCTACGAGCGACTCACCTTGACGCAGTGGATCGAGGACGAACGCCGTAACCAGGCTCGCAGCTACGCCAACAGCGGCCGCAG